CATTCACTAAAAATATGCTAATTTATCTAGTATATTTAAGCGTAAAAATAATTATTGTAAGTTATTATAAATTTACTGCCATTCTTTAATATTCAAAAATATTATCGAAATTTACTTAAAATTTTAAATTAAATGAAAACTGTTTAAATTTCCATGAAAAATAAATACTACCATAAAGAGTACACATTTCTTTTATACCCGGCATTATTTAATTATTTCTTATATACCCATATTATATTAAAGATCACGTATTTTTCAAGTCATAAAATGTATGAGTATTAAAAATGAATAAAAAGGTAAATCATAAACATATAAAAGTCCTACCATTACATATATCTGTATAAAATAAAAATTGAAAAAAGTGTAAAAAATGGATTAGAAAAAAACTTATTGCCCGCTCAATATAAAATTTTTTGGAGACAAGACGTGTTAACGATTATTCGATTTATTTTTTTTTTCACATATTATAATTAAAGACCCGAAATGATCAAATATTTTCTGTTAATAAATTTTTTATAAATTTTTTGATCACTTATTGTTCATATGGATACTAAGATTAACCTTGAAGTTTCTATCAAATAAAAAGGACAAACATAATAAATAAATTTTATGAACGGTTTTTTTAAGAACGTTATTGTGGTTCCATTCTGTATCACACCTTTTAATTCAGCGGAAGTGAAAAAAATGAAGTGAATTTTTTATTAAAAATACAAAATATACTGTTAGCATTCTGGCCTTTGTTTTGGATGGTGATGACTTCATTTGATATTTTTAAAATGTTTACTAATATTTAGAGAAAAAACGAAAAAAACCTATTGTTGTAAAAATAAGTAATTTTCAGGATTTTGACTCTCACTCCTTTTTTTTGAGTATTTTACAAAACTTTACAATAAAAAATATTTTATAAAATTTAAAAAAATATTATTTATCAAATTTATTTTTAATTAAATAGTCAAATTTTTCGCATGTTTTTAAGCACATTTAACAAGTTTTACTGGAAAAAACTATGAGAGAAACCAGAGATTGTAAACGATTATATTCCTCACCCCCAAACCCTTACAATTTTTTACTGGAAATTGATCAAAGAATCATCCCTGAAATGATTTGTCACCTTATGCGAAACACAATGTATAGAGTTCCAAATCATAATATTGATATAACACATTTTATTTTATATTCAGCTTATTTAGAATTATAATTCTAGCTTACACAGTTTGGTAACTAGTACATTTTTAGATGACATTTAAGTAATTTTATTATTCATTACGTAATATAGATTTTCGTTGAAAAATCCATGGCAAATTAATAACTTATACGTAGCATATTTATGTATAGATAAGGGTATATGGTTAAAACTTTGTTACATTTTAAATAATCTAAATTTTTTTCATTATTTTTAGATCTTAAAATTAAATATAGACATTTTATAAAAAAAATATTTCAAATCAATTAAAACTTGTGATTAAATTTTCAACATTTTCTTTTTTCTTTATAGTTAATTGATTAACTAAATTTCCTTTGAAAACGTTCTACTCTTTCTTTTTTACCCTCATATCAAAACTATAATCGTAAAACTGAAAACTGTCAATTATTTTTTACAAAATAATCCCCAATCTGATAAAAGGTTCATATAAACCTTCACTTTCATCAATATTCAAGCTGCATGCACAAATAAATTAAATAAAGTTGGGTCAAACCAATGGTTTTTATTGTAGCACTTTTCCCTTCAACAAGTGAAAATTCTGCTTTTAAATACAGTATATGCATACCTATCACGCTATTAAAATTATTTTCATTCATATTTAACTATTTCTAGGATTGCATATATTTAGGATGATGCATTCATGCAGTCTTTGAAATAAAGCAAAAATTAATATAAAGAGGAGTTAACATAATGCTCGATTTTAAGGGTTAATTGTGTGAGTTAAGAAAAATAATTATATTTTTTAATGTCACGGAATTTACCGCTAACTTTTTATGTTTATAGAAATTTGAAAGCGTTTGCGGTTTTGGAAATATAAGGCGCCAAAAATTCAAATTTTACAAATTTCAAGAGGCGATAACTTGATAGGGGGTGGAGATGGAAAAAAATTTTCTTCTAACGAAATGAACTATTTGTTAATGTCTATAAGCTCCTAAAATTTCAAGCTTTCTACAGGCTTGGGTCTAGAAGAAAAACGAAATCAAAAATTTGGAAAAAAAAGACTTTAGATAACGGTAAATTTGAACGGCCATTTTGTTTTTCTAAAGTTTAACTATAGTATATCGCGCTAGGGGAAGCAAGCCGCTGCCTTTATGCGTTTGCGAAATTTCAAAAATGCTTATGGTTTCATTGCAGCAAATAGTTAAAAAAGGCCATTTTTAGGGTTTTGGGGGGGTATAACTTCTAAAGGGGGTGCGATAGGTAAAAATTTTGTTCTACGGAAATAAGTTTCTAGTATCTATAGCTTTCTATCTTCAAGGGTGTAGAAGTTTTGTAAACAGACACACGGACAGACGGACGGACGGACGGACGGACGGACGGACAGAGTGAAACTAATAAGCACTTTTTTTCAAAAATTTTTTGGAAAAGTGCTAAAAACAATTTATAAAAAAATCTCAATTAATGGATAATGAGAATTATTTAACTTTTAATGTTTGAATAGATAAGAAAATCACATCTAAAGGGTATTCCAAAATTCACGCAAGATTTGAATTTCACGCCATTTGTGCGGTAAAGTGTTGCCAACCTAAAAAAAAATGAAATACAGCGTGACAGCTGACAGTTCATGCTTATTAAAAATGGAGCGCTATACAACGCGTTTTTTTATTGTTGAGCAATATTTTCTAAGTGGATGCTGATTCTTCGAACAAAATCAACTTTAGCGATGAGGCTCATTTTCATCTTGATGGCTTTGTTAATCGACAAAATTGTCACATTTTGGGTTCAGAAAATTCACAAGATTTTGGGTTGGAGGCATCATCGGACCATTCTTTTTCGAAAATGCAGCTGGTCAGACATCCAGTTTTTTGTAAGATTTTTTGCAATATATAGATGTGGACGGCAAGTGGTTTCAAGAAGACGGTTCCACATGCTATGCATCTTGAGAAACAATTCAATAACTGCATGAGTCATTGCCTGGTCATGTTTCACGTTTTGATGATCAGAATTGGCCGCCCAGATCATGAGATATTACATTGGATTTCTTTGGGTTTTTTTTTTAAATCTAAGGTCTATGGTAACAAGTCCACGACTACACACGCCTTGAAAGAGGAAATTGATCGCTGTATTAATAACATTCAGCTACATTTATGCAAATCAATCATGGATAATTTCAACAAAAGAGTGCGTTTTTACAAGCATTACCCGAAATGCTATTCCATACACCACCCTATATCGTATACTAAATAAATCAATAAAAAATTTACAATTTTTAATTATAAACCTATGCCACCCTTTATAAAACATTAAATATTGAAAATAGAAGATATTTGTATGTACATACATATTCCATAGATATAATATTTGAACAAATTCTCTTATTCTATGAATCAAATGTCATAGAAATTCTCTATACAATATGAATTTTTTGCTAATGATGGTATAGCATTAATTATTGTCTATTATATACACACACATTTACATGTAGTACTCGTATACATAATAAAATGTCAATGATGACATTAAAAATATTTCAAATATTAAAAAAATCAATTCATTTAATAATTTTCATATTGAATTAATACAACAAATAAAATACATAACATATTTTCATTTGTATATATACCAAAATACACATTCATACATACATGGCAGTATAAACGCTCATATTCTATTGTAAAGGATAATAAGAAATGAATTGAAAATACTGGAAAGGAAGCAAAAAAAAAAATCTTTTCATAGCGAAAAAAAATTTTTTTTCCATTCCAATAAAGGTTTGTGACCCAATTTTCTGGTTTAGTCTTTTGTTTTTAAATCATTTTGTAAACCACAAATTATCATCTTTTTGTAATTTAAATTCAGAAAATAGTTTTAAAAAAACCACACCGAGAAAAATGGGATTTACAGGTAGAAAAGTCTTGTAATGATTTCCGCTTCTCACATTTTTAAAGGTTTTCATTAAAATTCATAAATGTTTTGTTAACAATAAAGAACCTTTTTTAATAATAAAGAATCAAGAGTTAAAATTATTAATTTGTGTTTTTGAATCAAAAGCATTAATAACTTATTATTACAATTTTATATGCAAAAATCTTGAGTTTAAAACAATTTCTAAAAAAATACTGTAATATTTTAAGCAATTTGTAATAGCTAGCTTATGTTGATTTAAAGATTTCCAAAAAACAATAATGTAATTTCCACATTTCATAACAAAATCCGGCTATATACTTTTCAGTAACCGGTAGAAAAAAATGGTAATACATATTAGGGCGTTTAGAACATAAGAAGAATCTGTAATCTATCTTCATGCCAAACAATTTCTGTGAGTAAAATCAAAAAAAATCAAATCGACCTCTCATTTTGATCTATAATTTAATACAATTTTATGTGAAAAATCTACAATATTTATAATTTAAAGAAACATATTCTTTATACCTAAAATTAAATTAAAATCTCAAATTATCGCAAAATTTTTATATTTTCTTCATAAAAACTTAAAAGAAGAACAAGTGGGACGTAATTACCTTCCTTAACATAATGAGCAATGCTATACAATTTATCCTCGATCCTTGATATTTCGAAAAGTCAATTAAAACGTATATGCCATAATAACATACATAAATTTGCATTGTATACATACTTACTACATTTATTATAATTTAATATTATCTTCTTTGATTTATTTATTAAGCTATTAACATTATTTATTACAATAGTTCATACACATAGTTGTGATACATAGAATTATATTGATATACAAAATTTTTATATTATATAGAAAAATTATATTAAAATAGGTTAATTTATATAGCTTTATAAAAAATAAATTTTATAATAATTGAAAAAAAAAATGACTTACCGTGCGCATGAATATTTGGTGGAGTTCTTGGTTTTGGTTTTGAACACATTGAAAACATTTTTGATAACGATTAAAGGTTCTTATTTCCTCTATATATTTTATATAATATATATAAAAAATTTTTTTTTATAAAATAACCTTTATTATTATAATGTACGTAATTTTATGTGCTTATTTATTTATATCAAAAGTTATTCTGAATTATTGTTTATTAAAAAGGTATACATATACGATAAACTGAATCACAAAATTATTATTATGGTGTAAGTGTATGTGGTTTTGTTAAAATAAAAATTCGCATATACTAAAAAGGATCGTTAATTTTTTATTATTTATTTTTTTTGTTTTTGTTTATTGTATTTAACTGCCTTTATATTATTATATATATGTACATAAGTACCTTTACATATACTACAATATTCTAATACAATTTTTATTATGTAATTCTGTCTTGCTTTGTATTTTATTATAATTTTACAAAAAATTTCACCTTATAAAAAAAAAAACAAATCAATTCAATGTCAACACAATTGAATTTTTACAGTTATATTAATTTCATTATGTATACACTTAATGCTTATAGGTATGTATTATATGTGTGCAAATTCATAAATTTTATTTTATTTGTATGTGTAGTGTTTTCTCAAATATGTTATAAAATTTTATCAAATATCAATAATCAAATTATTTCTATAATATTATAATCCTTCACTATATAACATACATAAGTGTATGTTTAGTAGAATGTATGTCTGTGTGGGTATAAAATTCACTTATCTCTTTATATTCTGTTCTTTTTAATAAATTTTTGCTTAATAGACGGTAATTTTTCTTGCTCAAATCGATTAATTTGTTGTTTTTTCTATTAAATTTTATTACGGTGGTAAAAAAATATGGTATTTTTGGTTCTTAATTTTTTTTTTTGATTTTTACACTTTTTTTTTCGTACTAATAAAATTCGCCTATTAATTTTAAGATATTTAATAAAATACTTAAATTTCAATTAAAGAAGAGTTCATTTTGCTATAATTTTATCCTTTTTGTTAATTTTTTTTAATGTTTTCTCATTTTATTAAAGAATTTATGGTGATTTTATTACAATAAATTTGGTGCACTGATAACAATAAGAAAACGAATTGTTGTGTATTTTAAAAATCCCCTAAAAAAATTGTAGAGAAAAAAAAAATTATAAATTTAATTTATTGTGTTACTCTTGATTCAATTTTGGTAAGGATAGGAAACGTTAATAGGTTGATATAAAACAAAAACGCATTTGTGTTTTATATCACCCGTTTATTGCGGCAAATTATTTTAACAAAATCTTTACATAGTATTCGATGCAATTAAATATTTCACATTAATCATTTTCTAAAAAGTAGGTAACCATCTAGTTTCACATAAAAATACTATCGTAACTTTACTTGTATATTAAACTGATACATCAAGTATCAGTTCAAAACTGTAAGAAACTCTTCTTAAAATTTTTATTATAGCTAAAATTCATTCAAATTTTCAATTGATTTATGTCAATTTGGTAAACAATAATTTTGATATGCTACAACTATAGGACTCATATAATGATATTATGTTTGAATACAACAGCTTTTTCATGTGAAACTGGGAATTTTTTATTGCACAAAAATATAATGTGAAATTTCCAACGAAAATTGCTTAAAATTCTTTGAAACACGTTTACATTTCCAAAATATTGTATAAAACTCTTTTGTAATTATTTTAATATATCCTCGATTGGTGAGAAATTCTTTCATATTAGATTGGAAAAAGAAATTTCAAACTTGAACAATTGATATGCTTGCTATTAATTGAACTAAATACTGCCAATTAACCTTTATCATGTCTCACAAAACCCCTCTTGAATTTTCTATTATATTATATGAAATATTAAATTTTAAAATTCTCTACTTTAATAATTTTAAATTTTTATTATATGAAAATTTTTAATATTTCATAAACTTTCAATTTTTTATTTTTTAAATTACTAACCCATAACAAAGCTGTAAACTTTGTTATCTCTATTAAATCTAAGGATATATCATATATGAAATTTATTACTTTTTTTTATCATTATCTATTGCCAATTTTAAAACACGTGCCATTTTTCCTATAGTTTGTTTTTTTCATTTACACTATTTATACCTAAATTTTTTTTCAATACATACATACATATAATATGTACTATTTACACTGTTTGTTTAAAAAGTAAAAATACCTCTCGGAAATGAATAAAATCAATTAATAAAATGCTAACACAAAAGAAGAATTACGAACCTGTAAAATAGAGCTTTTGCAATAATATGAAAATATATACATGTATACAAATATACAAACTTAAGCATAGAATAAAAGGAGGTTTTTATTTATTTGTTGATTTAGTATACTGTATACATTCAAGTATAAAAAGGATATCACAAAAAAAATGAAAGAAAATAAAAAATGTATAGAGGTTAAATATAAAATTAATTTTCAAATTGAACAGTTTTCACAAAATTTCAATTTAGATTGAAATTTTCATTTAAAAAAAATGGACAATTAAGGCGTGTAAATACTTTAAAATAAGTCCACAATGTTAAAATACTTGAATAAAATGTGCAAAAAAATTTTGTTAGATTTTTGAATTTTTGTTTGTTTTCAGACGGAACCATGAAATTTATTATTATTCCTTTTAAGAATATTTTAACATAAAGAAAAAATTGAAATGTTTTTATAAATTACATTTAAAGTTGATTGCGTTTAAGCCACACGGTTTTAATCTATTAAACAAACTTATTGAACACCTATGTGATTACTTTAGCTACTCAGATTTTGTAATTTTTATCAATATTAATAAACATTGCTATTTGCAACATACAAAAATTATTTTTTAAGCGAGTCGTGTAAAATATTGTTATAATCGCAACGAGACTACAAAAAAATTAACTAGATAAGACTGAAATAAACTAGATAGATCTGAAATAAAAAAAAAAATTCTCGAATTTTAAATGTATCTTGATAAAAGGTGAGTAAGCTTCATCACCGTGAAATTTTCCTTATGCTATTCGAAAGCGAAATTCTATAACATAAATTTTTAATATTTTTTTATCGTATTCAAAACATTTTATGAATTCAAACCCCCTAAAATATGCAATTTTCATATAACATTGAAAAACTACGTAAATGCATATGAAAATTTGAGCAATTGCAATAGTGAAATTTACATGCTTACAGACAATTACAGAAATGTATTTCTGTTAAAAGCCGCTATAATTTGATTTAAATTTCTTCTACACAGAGCTATGTACAGAATTATTCTATAATCACTGCCTTAACATATACTATCATTTAGCAAAAATCAAAAATAGTGACAATTTTTAATAAAATTGATTTTTGTATTATTCTTTTGATGGAACTTCAATATGACGTAAATCAACAAATCGATGAATTTTAGCAATATTCAGTAAATTAAATCTTATAAAAGTTTCATTAAAAAACTTCTCTGGCTTAATAAATATCAATGTTTTATGTTACTAAAAAGGATGTTTGCGCTTACCATTACTTACAAAATTGTAGAAATTTTGTTGCGCATTCAGGATTTTTTTATGTACATACATATACTAATTAACAGTCTCATATTGAGCCATAAGAACAAATTTGTAAGAATTTATTATTTTCTAGACATGCGCTAGTAAAATATACTTGTACATAAATTTGAAAGTATCTTATAATATAAAAGATTTCCACAAATAAATAATTGATTATTTCATAAGAAGGTCCAGCTATAATTAAAAATACTGAATAGCTTATCTTTTGTTAAAAAAATTGTAATTTTTAAAATTCAAAAAAATTTTGTTTATATTGGCTACAATGATGGAAACTATGGTAATGTCCTTACACTCGAATGTTAACATATGCAAAATTAGGAAAATGAAATAACTTTCATCGATTTAGAGGATAATTTTTGTTTTTTACGCAAAGTTAAAAAGGAACTGCAATCTCCATCTTTATTTAGTCACTCCCAATAACTCTCTTCCCAATAAATTCCCTCTCGCCTTCTCTTTAAGTACACTTTTTAATTGTTGAATGTAAACTTGTAGTCGAACACAAAAGTATTTTTTTTTGATTCCGGATAAAGAGTATAGTGCCCACAAGTTGAATTATTTTCTCTAGAGCGTAAAATTTAATTATTTTACTTTCCCTACTTCCAATTTCCCAACTTAATTTGAATATATATATGCATATTATGTGATTTCCTTTTACTTTAATAAAATAACCGTAATCGTATTTAATACAACAGACAATGAGAAACTTTTTTATTTTTAATTTATACTAATTCATATAGTAAAAAATTTTCTTTTTAAGTATATTTGTAGTGGTAGAATAATAAAAGGTAAAAATGATGTTTAACACCCCACAAGCCAAGTTCTAAGTAGTTTCGCGCTTTACATGTAGTTTCGCGCTAATTCAGTAGAACAGAATGTAGTAATTTCTGTAGAGGTATTTCTCTGATTTATTAAATTATAGGACTAATATTTCTATCAAAATCAAAAGAAAAAAATTCCAAATCAAAAAATTTATTTTTCTAGATGATTGTACATTGCAAAATTTTGCTTTCTGCTGAGTCTAACATAAATTATTGTTCTATCTGTGGAAAGAAATTGCAGATTATAATATCACCACTTTTAGCGTAATTGTAAATGTAATATTTTATTTTTCCCACTTCGCTGTAAATAAAAAGAAAAACATTTTTAAAACGTAGTGAAAAAGATTAGAGAAAAAAATTTTGCGTATTAAGGTGCTCATTGTAAGTATATTATTTGCTAATATGGCGATCCGGCCCTCACTTTACAATAACATTATTGTTAAATTATATGTGCGAGTATATAAATAAAGATAGTTTTCATTTTTATGGTAATTGCCACATTAAACATAAAACAAAATAAAAACATAAAATGAGCAAAAACCGAAGGATTTTTTCAGATAGTAAAGGAAACAAAAATTACAATAAAGTTAGAAAATTTTTTGTTTTTCATTATTTTGTAATTTCAATGAATTACATAAGGTATAGCATATAGTTAAAAATTTATAGTAAAAAAATCCATTAAGCACAAAATAAGGATTTCATTTTAAAATTCCCTTTTTCTTTAAAGTGTTTTGTTTTTTCTACTTCTTCAGCAGAAATCATTTAAAAATATACTTTAATAGGATACTTTTATAAAGAATAAAAGAAAAGTAATAAAGAATATTTTCGCAAATTTTAACTGAGGATAATGAACGTTTTACGTAATACTCTTACATACTAATATATAATATATATTATATACTATATAAACACTATACTTACATAAAATGACAAAAAAGATGACATTACAAGTAATAAAAACCACGTATCGTAAAATAATTCCTTTTACTTGCTAATAAAAACATTCATAAGGATTCCCATTAAGAACAAAAAATGAAATTATATTGTAATGAAACCTTATATAACAAAGAATATCAATGTATGTATGTATGTATATAACAAGAATATAATATTATTTTAGTTATATAATACTTGAAAATATCTATTAAATTGGTATAGATATTTTTATAAAAAAGATAATGACCGAATATGAAACTGGAAATTTTTTAATAATTTAATTAAAAGAGGAGATGCAAGAGGAACAGACTACTGTGTGGTAATTTTCATTGCAAACTGGCGTAATTCTGAAATTTCATATTATACATAAAAATATTATTTTTATTTTTAATTTATTTTCTTAAAATAGGTATTTTTGGAAATTAATCAAGATACTGATACTAAGATCAAGATATAATTAATCAAGATATTGATACAATCAAGATTAAAAAGATAAGAAGCTCATTACATAATGAAAAAAAAAATTAAAATTACTAAAATATCCAACAAGATTTGCAATAATTTCATTTAAAAAGTAAGAAAACTAATTTTAAATAGTTGAGAAATTAACAAGTATCTTAAATGTTGGCACCTTGTTGCCCTCATATAGTGGCAGTCTTCTGCGACCTTTTCAAGTCAAATTAACAATATTATAAAATTAAATTTTAGCAGAGTTGAAATAGGCTTTTTTAAAATTAAATAATTCAGTTATGTTGAAATATATGGGTATCGAAATATTAAACCATGTCATGAATTATGTTTATTAAGTTAGAAACTCTTAAATTAGTAGAGTAGTCATATTCACAAAATTTTTATCACTACTCATAAAATATAATTTTACATCAATAATTTTAATAATTTTAACGCAATATAAAAAATTTCCAATAAAAGGTAATTTCCACTTTTTCTATAGCATTATTACGAATACAATATTTAAATAGCAGTAACAACTATTAAAACGAACGATTTTAACCGACTTTTAATAAAAACTTCCAAAATTAATGGTTAATATTCATATATCCTTGTTCAATAATATTCCAGTGATTATTTTTTCTATACAACATGAAATTTAATTTTTATATTTATAATGATTTTATGTGGGTGAGTATAACAATTATTGAAAATCGAAAATAAATTAAAATAAATTTTGTATATTTACACCTCAATTCGCATATTCTGTTTTAATTTAACAATTAAACAAAGAACAGCAAAAAACCTAAAAATTAATTCGAATCAAATTTTTGACTTGTAAAGCAGCACATTTTCTTTGAACTAGGGAAGAGAATAATTTTTTTAAAACAATCTTTTGTTAATATTATTCTCAAAATGATTATTAATATTCTAATTAATAACTTTAGCATAGTTTTAGAATAACAACAAAAAATAAAGAAGTGTTAACTTAGTGTTTGAAAATTATATTAGTTAAAATAAGTACCTACAGTTTTCTTCTGTATTTTTGAAATTTGAAAAAAACCAGAAAAATCATAACAAATTGCCGAAAATTTTAAGAAGCAACAAAGAAAAGACGATTTTTTTTCAATTTGCTCATAAATGTGCTAAGAAAATCGAAATAAAATATTCCCTTTTTAACTCATATCTTTTATTTCCAGCTGAATATAAGCAATAGTATAAATATTTTCCCCTGTATTATATACTATTTAGATATGTACAAATATTATGTGTTATAAAATGCAATATTGCGAGAAAAATATGTTTTAATAATAAAGGTTTTAATTAAATTTTCACTTGTTATTACAGGCTTTCCACATTAAAATAATTATTAAATATAAGCACAAATATAAATTAATAATATATTCATAATGTATTCAGAAATCTACACCTATATACATAAATTCAACATGTGGCTCATTATTTTGTATTCTACTTGGATTCCATGTATTTTTTTCTCTCACATGTATACTACTATTTATATTTTATTGTAATTTTATATATGAACGAACATTAAAAAGTATTAATTCATTTAAAAAGTTTTATTTTTAATATAAAATATATTTAAAATAAAAAATAAACTTTTAAATTTTAAACCGCCTTCCATCTTTCTCAATTTATCATAGTTTTAGTAATACTTTTCAAAATCTTAATCCGAATTTTCCTAATAAGGTAAATATGTAAAAAATTTAAATGTAAGAGTTTTTTTGAATTTCTACAAACTCCAATAAATATTGATTTAATAATAGATTTTTGGGAAATTTTGAGAATCTCTAATAAATTTATTAGTATTTTAGTTGTTTCAAACAAAAGATCCTGGCAATTTACCAGAGGTACATACATAGATTATATTCATTCTCTGTTAAAAATTTATTTAAGTTTGGAGTAATTTTAATTTTTCCAATATTTTTTAAATATTTTATACGTACTTATATTTTTATACTGCAAGAAAAATTTTAATCTATATTAAAGAAAATTTGATGGTTGGTCTAAGGGGAATGGCATGTTGGTATAGCATTCATGCTTTCATCCCTTCTTCGATGAAAACAAAAAAAAAAAAAACTTTAATTTCGTAAAATTTTTTGTCTTATTTTTACGTTAACTTAAGCTTCGAGCACTCATCAAAATATCAGGATTTAAAAAATTAAATTGAAAGGGTATTTTTTAATAAAAACATAATTTTGTGCTGTATTTTCAAATTTAGTTTATAATTTCAAATATACAAAATAAAAGTTTTGCAAAATTTCTTTCTTTAACATAAATTATCTTTTGAAAAGCATTTTTATGACTTTTTTTTTGAGTTTAACTCCACAACTCAAATCTAAATGTTTTATTTTACCTTGAAGCAGTCAAATTTTTCAAAGTTTTATAAGATGGCTTAGTGATGTCCAATTAAAATGTGCTTTTCGAAAATCCTTTAAATTTGATTCTTATTTATTTTTTATTTCAATTGACCATAAATTTTTAAACAATTCAATTTTAACTTTTAATGAGATACTTGAATTTTTTTTATAATGAGCATAGTCAAAAAATAAATGCCCAGACAAAAAATGGATAATTTTTAAATTTTAACTTTTTTACATTATATTTTCTTATTCTTTCTTGTAAAGTAACTTGGAAAACTAATTTAAACAAAAAAAAAAAAAATTACAATAATAATTCAATGGAAAACTTTGGTTTATTTTTCACCCTTAATATTCTTTCAATGTAACTTTGGTAAAAAGTTATTTCTTGAAGAACTTAAATTGCGAATTATTATTGAAAATTTAAAATTTTCACGTACAAATAAAATAATATTTATTTAAAGAGAAGGAACAAAAACTGAATATAATATAATATTATGATTGTTTAATAAAATTCATATGAAAATTGTTAAAAGTTTTCAAATTTTAAAGGAATTTATGGAAGAACATTTCCCAGAAAATTACAATTTCTCATCAATTTTCTGAGAAAATGTTCATCAATTTTGAAAACTCCTTCAAACCGTTTAAGAAATGAAAATTAATTTTAATTTTTTAATAAATAATTTTCACAATCAAATTTTTTTTGTTATAATCAAATTTTGATGTAAAACGAATACACCTAGAATTTAAAATTTAATGTAATATATATTTTATATTAATTTAGTTGTATTTTAATAATTTAGTTGTAATTTAAAATTTAATTGAGTTACGATTTCAAATTTGAAGGGAAGTTTAAGTTACGACTTAAGATTTAAAAGTTATGGAATTCGAGTTATGATTATTATAAAAAAAATTCTTATTAATGATAAATTTTGAGTTACTAAATTTCAGGTATTTTTACATTAAAAAGAGATATTTGAAACCGCCTTAATTAACAACTTACAACTGAATCTCGTATCATAGAATTATCGATAAAAATTTTAACTAATTTTGCAGATTTTTCAGTTCATGACAATATGAAAATTTTCGATTTTTAAAATTCAAAATTCAACTATATTCTATGTGTTCTCAATCTAAGTAATTTTCAAATTAACTTCACCCAGTTTTTTCACAATAATTTTTATATTTTTCAGTCTACTACCGTTGAAAGCTATAAAATCAAACAGAAAAGAGGAATTTGGGCTATGAAATCTATGCATTAATTTTATGTTCTAAAGACTATTTTGGTTTGCAAAGTTCCTTTATAAATTTACAACATCATTGATGCTACTGAAATCAACATGTACGAACTATCGTTAATAGCAGCCTAAAATTGTAAAATAAATAAATATTCAAAATATGCATTTCATTTTAATGCTATTTCCTAATCAATAAAAAAAATCCTTTTCTTATTTCCTTTACATTTGTTACGCCTTAAATTATGCAAATTAATTTTTATTTTATACTAATTTTCTATTTTTTTTTTACTAAATCAGAACTTTTTTCTCAGCTTGTAATCTAATTATAACTTATAAAGGAAAAAGAAAACTGTAACTTCCTTTTAAATAAAAAATGAAAAAATTGTAAAAAAAGAAATTTAAAATACAAAAAGAACGATAAAAGCAAAACACTAATATCAGAATAAATGATTTTCCGGTGTTTTTTTTTTCTAAAAAAAAAAACACAAAAAACCTTGCTTTGTTATTACTGTTATTATTATTTCTCTCCTTTTTTTTGTTTGGTATTGTGATTACTGTTATATTCCTTTAGAGTGTTAAATTTTTATAACTTTATAACTTTTGTTCGTTTTTATTTTTTTTTTTGTATATGATTCTTCCTTTCCAAGTGCTCTGTTTAGCCCGTGTATTTTTCACGAAATAATTTTGTATGAAATTTTTTTTAAAACATCAAAATGAAAGGAAACACAATTTCACTTAGAAAAAAAACCATATGTATATTATAATATATATGTGTATATTATATGTAAGCAATAAAATGATATTTATAACACGGATCGCAAAACTACAAAAAAATTTTTTATTTCTCTTTGGTCACACCTTGAATCGTCAACGGCCAAAACTCTACTGAATGAAAATTTTAAGTTCGTCTTCGGGGATAAATTTTTATTTTTCGTTTTTTACTTTTTTTTTCATTTTTGCTCTTTTTTCATCCTGTTTTCATTCTATGATTCTCGAGATACATTCTTTTTTAATTCATCTCAAATATCACAACAAGAAAAGAAGAAAACCAAAAAATTAAAAAAAGGATCCTCTAAAGTATTCGAGATGAAAATTACATAAAAATCAAAAGCAGAAAACAAAGAACAAGAATTTCCAAAAACAAGTTCAAATTTCGTTCAATTTTACTAACACAATCATACTTCCAGATAAATAAAATGAGAGAATACATATTTTATTTATCTTATTTTACGTATACAGATTAAAGGACCATGACATTACAAAAATCATAGGCAGGTCATAAAATTTTGTAAGTGAATTTGGACTCTTTAAGAACAAATTTAGCCTTAAATGGATTTTGATTGAAAATAATTCAATTAAATATTATTAAAATTTATTTCTAACAATTAAAATTCAAGTTCAAAAAAAATTTATCTCAAAACCTATATAATATAATATTATATAATATATTACATACTATATGTATATCTACATACATAAATAATACATTATGTTATATAATAAAACATTTTAAAATTTTCTTTAATCTTTCCCTTTTATTAAAGGAAACGTTAATGGGGTAAATAATGAGAGAAAATAATATTTGTCGCGGATTTTAATTTTATAGTTACTAAATGACTCGTTCCCAAACAATCATCCGTCTTTTAAATTTTATTGATGTATTTGTATAGTAAATACATCTTCTAAAATTTATTGTATTAGTATGCAAAAATTTAAGATATAAATGTGTTGAACAAAAAAATGAATTGCAATTTTTACTAATATGCCAATATAAAAATTATTATGAATGAAATTTTAAGGTATATAGAAGTTACAAGGTACATACAATGTAGAATTTCATGTATCTACACTTATATTTTATCAAATTCCTATATATGACACCCTGTTAAATAAACATTTAATCCTGTTAGAAAAATATATTATGTACTTGTAAGATGTAATTTTCCTAATAATTATGTACATATATATATTTGTATAATATTATATAATGTATTGATAAGATTATGTCTGTTATATACATACTATATTTCTTGAATGAAATATTAATATGAGACATTTTTTCTTAACTTAAAGTTATTCTTAAAATTTAAAAACATGTATATTCGTACATAACATACCTATTTTAGTTGTGTTTTCAGTTTAAAGACCTGACTTTAAATACAAAAATTTTTAACAATTTATTTAAAGAATTATGAAAATTTTTTTTAATAAAAATGTAATTAGTAATTTTTATACGATATTTTGGCAAATTCTATAATATATTCTTCAAGAAAACGTGCAGTTGCTGTGAAAATGTTGTATAAAACAATGAATGTAAAACATTAATTAAAAATATACTGATTTGCCGTTGTATAAATATAAATTACACTAAATTTATGAAAAATTTCAACAATAATTAGTCAATTCCAGAAACAAATTTTCATGTATTTTTTGCAAAAATAAAAATTTTAAATCATGTACAACTTTTGCAATTGAATTGCATGCTCGCCAATTAGAAATTAAGTTATACAATTATAATTAATTGGTAAGTTGATCAAAGTTTCTTGCATGATTTATAATGAAATAAAAGCTGTGGCAACGGACATTTTTATAGCGAGACTATAAACCTTCAATCCATTGAATATAATACGATGCTACAAATAAATATTTTTGACTTAGTTTTTTTTGTTAAATTGTTATATAAATTACTTTTTATTTATTTAGTAAAAATAAAGAAAATAACATTTACACACCTATTTCAAACTTTTATAAAGGAAGTAAGTCTTGTGATTAATATGTACCTGTTGTTAGAAATTCATTTTCTAGAATCCGATTTTTATAGATTTTTTAGTTAATTTTGTTGATGAATAGATCACAAATATGAAATTTCAAGCAATTTCGTTAATAAGTTCCTTACATATGGCCAAAAACGTCAAAAAAAAACCTTCGTAAAAGTATCGGTAAAAAGACAGGCGGACAAAACTCCAGCGAATTCTAATTAGCAGCACAATTTCAAAAAGGAATTTTAAAGTTTAAAGTATTTCATTTTTAATTTGTTATTTTGGTGGTGTATACTGATAATTACGGATGTTGGTTCAGGTAGTATCCGCTCGCGCACGCGCATATTTGCCAGCTTGGGTCCATATTGCACGGTATTTTTGGCCGAAATACATACAATGGAATTCTGTCTGAGTGTCAATTTAGAAAGGAGATATAAAAACCGTAATATTTAAGAGCTCTCGAATGGCAGGAAGGCTACATCGACTCAAGAGTCAGGTTACATCGAACCCGGTATATACCTGCCTTACTACACTTGTTGAATTGGCATAGGTAAGTGGAGCTGGCTTCCTGAAGCTGCTCTCTTTCTGTGGGCTGCCTTTTTCCGCCGTAAGCAGGCTTGCCTGCCTGCTCGGGGTCGCATTTCGTCGCCGCACACGAAGGGGTGTCCTTGCAGGGTTGTAAAGGATGAACAGAAACTGAGTTCGTACTATTGATATTTTCTTCACTGGGCACTGCCGAGTAAAATATCGCATGCATAAGCAGGCAAAATCGGACTATCCCTTGTGAAGATTTGTTTTGGGACAGTGAGAAATTCATTTCTAAAATATTTTCCTTTTTTTTATTTAATAATTTATAAAATCAAATTGTAATCCTAAAATATTTTTTGAAGTAGTGTTGTGAAACCAACTTTAACGAAAAAATCATTTGAAGATTTAGCAGATATACCATTGCAAGGTATATAACTTTAAGATTAAATTTTAATTTAACAAACATCGTAAAATTCTAATTATGTTTCTAATCAAGAGGAAACTATAGTGATTAAAAGCATTGAATTCGTTTCAGTAACCTCCGGGGTAATATGGGGCTGTCTTGAGAAACTCAATGAATTGGGTAGACACAACCGGATTACCTTCTGCTGAGTTCCAAGCTATGTGGGCGTTAAAGGAAATGAGAAAGCTGATGCGCTGGTGAGGAGGGGAGCTAATACACCTCTTCTAGGGCCGGCACCTTTCTGTGGCATCGGACAGCGTACTGATGGTTGGGAACTAAGAAAGGAATCAGAGGGGAATGGTCGGAATGCTGGAGAAATCTTCCGGAGCTGCGTCAGCCCAAGAAGCTTCTGGGAGATTATGGCCAAAAGTGTTTTAAAAAATTATAGAAGTGGGCAGGAATCAGGTGAGAAACCTCACCGGGTACTTTTGGGGTCTCTGTAGACTTAGGGGGCACCTCAGTCGGCTGGGCCTGGAAAGTAAAGATACTTGCAGATTCTGTGAGGAAGATAGGGAGACTTCAGTATACCTTCTAGGAGAGTGTGTTCGACTCCCTCTTGCGAAAAGGAAAATACTGGGGGACTTCATTCTAACAGCGGCGGAGTTGCGATCCTTTGCGCCTCACAAATTGCTCGAGTACATCAGGGCGGTGAATCTCGAGCGCGTGCTGTAGAGGTCAAGCAATCTCTAGTGAAGTACTTAAAAGTATTAGTATATATAATAATATCTACTGATTGTAATAAGAAAATTCTGATAATTTTGAACCCTATTCAAGATAACTGTAATATATATATGTCAAATATATCAAATATATAATATAATATATTATGTATATCAAATATATAATATATATACATATTTCAAATAATAAAATTTTTTTTACTTAACTTGATCATTCGTTTCATTTTTTTAATTATCCCCTACATATAATTAATTTAAATTCAATTAATTATTGCTATCAATAATTTGATAAGTTTGACTTTGAACAATTATATAATATATAAATATATAAATATAAATAAATAGATTATACAAAATTGTTTATATATACAGATTATTTTTAATAATTTATATAGGTATATTATGTACACATTTAAATTGTATCGAGTAATTTTGTATCCTTTTAAATATATACATATATTGTATGTATACCAATTATTTACAAGGTTTCCTGAATTAATATTTATTATAATCTGTCCTCATTTTAAAATAGTGGGTGAAAAAAAAAAAACTTTTTTTTTATTTTATTTCTTTTATACAAAATATATAATTTTTTATGGTATGTAAGTGTAATCTATATAATATATAAATATATAATATATGTATGTATATATGAAATTTGATTGCACATGACACAATTTCAATTTTATCTTTTAATAAAACCGTATAAGATTTTTTCAATATATTACAAATATATTTGTTTGTAAGCTATGTATAAAATATACCAATCAGCTACGTTATATTCTTTGTAATATTCGTCATATACAGATATTTTTATTTGTACCTATATATTATAGAAAACATACATTTTATATATAATTATAATACGATTTTATATTCATTTATGCATAAAGATAATATTATACATTATGTATAACATGATTTATTTATTTATATACACATTTGCATACACGTACGCAATATACATACACGAGTTTTAAATACAATATACATAACCATGTATATTGTATATAAAACCATCTACATTTGCATATATACCAAATTATGAATTCATCTATACACATTATATTTGTATGCACGTAAAAAAATAATAATTGATAGCCTTGAAAACGCCCAAAGATAATAATTATTATAAACAAAATAAAAAGGATGCAATCCACAAGAACACAAACTACTTTTTAATCAAAAGAATATTTTCAATTTCACAAAATACGATGTATATAATATGCAAACATATATAATACATAATATGCATATATATTCGAAAGGATAAAAGAGATTATTAAAATGAAAGAAACAAAACAAAAAATTGGGATGGTTAAACTAAAAAGGACGAAAAAAAATAATAATAATTTTTACTTAAAAGAAAAATATTAAGTAAAATTGGAAAAAGTCCTGAGTTTTAACATTAGGAGTTTTTTACATTGTATATATATGCA